CGTATCGAAGTCGCCTTGGCCGACTTGGGAATATATCTCGGGGCGGGATGTGTTGGAGTCTCGGCTATCAAAATCCATACATCATTGGCATTAAAAGATGAAGGGAGATTCGGGTCCTCCGATGCTTGATAAATGTCCTTCTCCAATGTCTTCGAGTCGATGGTGTAGCTTTTATTGTCTAACCGGAACTTCATCGTTTTCACCATGTGATCGTACCCCATTTTCTCGACCTCCAAGGTGGCAAGAAACTCCAATGTAAGGCCGGCATACGTCGGCCACTTCTGAGTCATCAAATACTCCCACCCTGCCCTTCGAATCAACTTGAGCACATCATCATAAAGGCCGAGAGTAACAAGTGCCTCATCATCAATATATCTCGTCGCCACCATCCTCAAATTCGAAAGATTTTTCCACCGTACCCTCTCCTCGTGAGATTTCAATCGAACGCCAAACACGGCCGGTTGTATAGCCGCCCCCGGAATAGGGTTGGCATTCGAACCTCTTCCACAGCCTCGTCCTCCCCGATTCATCATATCCTTGAGTCCAAAAAGAGAGCAAGGATTGAACAACTATGAGCTTGTAATCGTAAGTGAATATTTAGGAGACGAATTCAAAGATGAGAAGGCCTTAGAATTGCAAATTATGACAAAGGATTAGGGTTCTAGGGTTTTTAAGGGAGAGAGGGCCGAAAATTTTGAAGTAAAAGTGAAAAGAAAATTGTGTTTTTAAAGGTGCTGTTGACGCGACACGGGCCGTGACACGGTCACAACGCCCGTGTCGCCACCCGTGGCATGTACCTGGGGGTCCTCTCTTTTTTTTTTACTTGACACGGGCCGTGACACGACCAAAATGGCCGTGTCAACGCCCGTGTCGCAGTTACTGAAACTTGAGCATTCTGTTAGGGTGACACGGTCGACGACACGGCCAAAATGGCCGTGTCACGACCCGTGTCACACGCCTGGAATTTTTTTTTTTAATAAGAACAAAAATAAAACTAACAAGGAAAACAAAAACTATCCTACAATAAATAAAAACAAGAAAGCAATAAAACCGTTGGGTTGCCTCCCAACTAGCGCTAAGTTTAACGTCTTCAGCCAGACGCCTGTAAGAATCACGGTTCCTTCAAAGTGATGTAGGACAACTTCTCATTTTGGTACGAATGATAGTAGTGCTTGATCCGTTGTCCGTTAACTACAAAGGTCTCGCCGTCTCGTGCAACCAATTCAACTGTTCCCGGTGGTAACACCTTCTTAATCACAAAAGGCCCTGACCATCTCGACTTCAATTTTCCCGGGAATAACTTCAATCGTGAATTAAACAAAAGGACTTGTTCTCCCGGAAAAAATTCTCTCTTGTGGATCATCCGGTCATGCCACCTTTTCGTTCGCTCCTTGTAAATTCTCGAATTCTCGTAACACTCATCACGCCACTCCTCCAACTCATTCAAATCGAGAAGCCTTTTCTTACCCGCCTCATGAAAATCAAAGTTTATCTTCTTCACAGCCCACATAGCTCGATGCTCTAACTCAACCGGAAGATGACACGACTTACCTAAAACAAGCCTGTATGGAGATGATCCCAGTGGTGTCTTATAGGCCGTGCGATAGGCCCAAAGTGCGTCATCGAGCTTCAACGACCAATCCTTCTGATTTGTGCTCACCGTCTTCTCCAATATATGCTTGATTTCTCGGTTCGCCACCTCTGCTTGCCCATTCGCTTGCGGGTGATAGGCTAAGGCCACTTTATGCTTGACGCCATATTTCGAAAGAAGCTTCTCCATTAATTTATTCACAAAGTGGGAACCCCCATCACTGATCAAGGCTCTCGGGGTCCCAAACCGTGTGAAAATATTTTTCTTCAGAAACTTGAGAACAACAGCGGCATCATTTATGCTCGAGGGAATTGCCTCCACCCAACGAGAGACATACTCAACAGCAAGTAATATATACCGGTTTCCACATGAGGAAGGGAACGGACCCATGAAGTCAATCCCCCAAACATCGAACAACTCGACCTCGATCACATTCGTCATAGGCATCTCATGGCGTCTAGAAATATTGCCCATCCTCTGGCATCGATCACACTGGTTCACAAAAATATAGCACTCTTTATATAAGGTCGGCCAATAGAAACCACTCTGTAATACCTTTGCTGCAGTACGAACTGCTCCAAAGTGGCCTCCCGTCGGTGAAGAGCGACACTGCTGAAGAATTCCATCCCATTCTTCTTGTGGAACGCATCGTCGAACGATCATATCGGCACACCTCTTAAAGAGAAGAGGCTCATCCCATATATAGAACTTCACGTCGTGGAGAAATTTCTTCTTCTGATAGAATGACAAGTCCGGGGGTAAGACTCCGGCCACCAAGTAGTTGACGATGTCGGCGTACCAAGGAAATTTTTCCTCAGCCCTTAAGAGTTGCTCGTCGGGAAACTCCTCTTTAATATCACTGGTGGTATCGGCCTCCTGCCGTTTATACTCAAGCCTCGATAAATGGTCCACCACCACATTCTCGCAACCTCGACGATCCCGAATCTCAACATCAAACTCTTGTAGTAAGAGAATCCACCGAATCAAGCGTGGCTTAGCATCCTTCTTGTCAAATAGATACTTGATTGCTGCGTGGTCCGTATGCACTATCGTCTTGGTGCCGATCAAATAAGCACGGAATTTGTCAAAGGCATAGACAACAGCCAACATCTCCTTTTCTGTGGTTGTGTAATTTTGTTGGGCTCCATCAAGTGTCTTGCTCGCATAATAAATGGCTCTGAAAAGCTTATCACGTCGCTGGCCCAACACTGCTCCAACAGCGAAATCGCTCGCATCACACATGATCTCAAATGGTTGAGACCAATCGGGGACAACCAAAATTGGAGAACTCACCAATGCTTTCTTCAACGTCTCAAATGCCTGCAAGCACTCAGCAGAAAAATTAAAAGCAATATCTTTTTCTAGTAATTGACTCAAAGGCTTCGAAATTTTAGAAAAGTCACGAATAAACCGTCTATAGAAACCGGCATGCCCAAGAAAACTCCGAATAGCCTTTTCATTTGCAGGAGGTGGCAGCTTCTCAATAGCCAAAATCTTTGCCCGATCTACCTCCAATCCTTCAGATGAGACTTTGTGGCCTAGAACAATACCATCTCGTACCATAAAATGGCACTTCTCCCAGTTAAGAACCAAATTCGTCTCTTCACATCTCTGCAAGACTAAAGTAAGATTATGCAGACAAGAATCAAAAGAATCACCAAATACAGAGAAATCATCCATAAAAACCTCCATAATATTTTCAATAAGCCCATGAAAAATTGCCATCATGCATCGTTGGAAAGTAGCAGGAGCATTACACAAACCAAATGGCATTCTACGAAAAGCAAAAGTACCGTAAGGACATGTAAAAGTGGTTTTCTCTTGGTCTTCCGGGGCTATCATAATTTGATTGTACCCCGAATAACCATCAAGAAAGCAATAATAGTTCATTCCTGCCAAACGATCCAACATTTGATCAATAAAGGGGAGGGGAAAGTGATCTTTACGAGTTGCGGCATTCAATTTCCTATAATCTATACAAATACGCCAACCTGTTACAATTCTAGTCGCAATCAATTCCTCTTTCTCATCTTTTACTACTGTCATCCCTCCCTTTTTCGGCACCACTTGCACCGGGCTCACCCACTCACTATCAGAAATCGCAAATATAATCCCGGCATCTAACCATTTAAGCACTTCTTTACTAACAACTTCTTGCATAACAGGGTTCAAGCGTCGTTGGTTTTGCACAGATGGTTTATAATCTTCTTCTAATCTTATTTTATGCATGCAAAGAGATGGACTAATACCTTTAAGATCAGAAATAGACCAACCAATAGTCGACTTATACGTACGCAAGACCTTTAACAATTTATCCAGTTGTTCAGGACAAAGAAACGATGATACAATTACCGGATATGTAGAATTATCACCCAAATATGCATATGTGAGGTGCTCCGGCAAAGGTTTAAGCTCCATAGTCGGTACGTCGGGCTTTGAGGGACTGGAATCGGGCGAAATAGGGGTGGAAACACCTGACACGACCTCCGACACGGTCGAGGTGACCGTGTCACGGCCCGTGTCACGTCCCTGGTCAAATGCCCGTGTCTGAAGGCGTGACACGACCACATGACACAGCCCGTGTCGCAGGTCGTGTCGGGTCTGGGCAGCTTCTTCAAGTTCCAGGTTTCTAGCACGACCTCCTGACACGGGCTGTTTGGTCGTGTCACAGCCCGTGTCACCCCTGCAGAGCCTACTTTTGCATCTTTTCTCCTCCTTTTCGATCCCCAAGCTCAAAATCTCTTTCGACATGCTTTCCTCCTGCGTAGAGTCCAAAAAAAAACACATATTCGTATAAGTTCGAGTCATTCAATTCAAGTATCGAATCATTAGGAGAACAAGACTTAATCAATCCATATTCCAAAGAATCTCTAGACAATGTATGATCAAGATGTGACAAGATGCATGAATCTATAGTATCAAGAAAATTACAATGCGCATTATTATCATGAAATTTCATAGCCTTATACATAGAAAATAACACATGCTCATCATTAACACGCAATGTAAGTTCTCCCTTTTTGACGTCAATCAAAGCATCTCCCATTGCTAGAAACGGTCTTCCTAGAATCAATGGCACCTCGTTATCTTCCTCCATGTCCAACACAACGAAATCCACTGGAAATATAAATTTATCAATCTTGACAAGCACATCCTCAACAATTCCCTTGGGATATGTTATCGAACGATCCGCTAATTGCAAGGTTACCGTAGATGGCTTCACTTCTCCCAATCCTAACTTCCTGAAAATCGACAGAGGCATAAGATTAATACTTGCACCAAGATCACATAAAGCTTTGCTAAAGAAAATGTTCCCGATTGTGCAAGGCACAGTAAAGCTTCCGGGGTCCTTAAGCTTCTGAGGTATCTTGCCTTGGAGGATCGCACTACACTTCTCGGTTTAGTTCACCATCTCATGATCCTCAACTCGCCTCTTCTTGGATATCACATCCTTCAAGAATTTCGCATAATTTAGCATTTGTTCCAAGGCTTCTGCAAAAGGAATATTTATATGAATTTTCTTGAATATATCTAAAAATTTAGCAAATTGAGCATCCAAATTCTTCTTTTGAAATCTTTGGGGAAAAGGTAAATTAACAGGATGTTTATGAGAATTAGAGTTAGAAGTAGATTTAAGCTTCTCAGCCCCTTTTTTCGACATGACAATCGGTTCTTTCTCCAATTCATCACGAACATCCTCTTCCTTTTCGCTTAGCTCCAAGCGCTCTTTCCCCTTCGGCTCACTCTCCTTCTCCTCCGGCATCTTCGGGCCTTCGTACTCCATTCCACTCCTTAGACGGATGGCTTGACATTGCTCCTTAGGATTCAACTCCGTATTGCTAGGGAATTGACCCCTTTGGTGCTGGCTCCCTACGACCTTGGCTAGTTGGCCAATTTGCGTTTCCAAATTCTTCATTTGTGCCCCCATTGTCGTAGCCAGTTGAGTCACATGGTTCTCGATCTTGTTCAATTTCTCTTCATCCTTGTTGAAACGATTTCTCGTCTCATTCATGAAGGTAGCCAAAATATTCTCCATGTCCGTCTTCTTCTCTTAGATAATCACACCATTCACCACCTTGAACCCCGGTGGTGTTTGGAGCACATTCTTCGTGTTTCCATAGGAAAAATTTTCATGATTCCTATTATTCGGGTGATAGAAACCCGGCACCGGATTGGAGCGATAATTGCTGAAAATCCGATTGTTGATATAATTAGCCTCTGCTAAGGGATCCGGTGGCATCACATTGCCGTGTCCTCCACTCATCTCATCAGCTCCATTTGTCACGGCATTCAATTTCGTCGTCAATGACGACATTTGAGCCGCTAACTCCTTAATTGGATC